CTAATGAAATTTTCCTGTTTCTTAATATTTTGTTTAGTTTCTGAAAGGCATCTTTCTCTATTCTAATGTAAAATTAGATATTGCGCAGCAGTTCAGTAGTCTTTTCTTGATTTCTAACGAAATTTCCTATTTCTTAATACTTTCGCTATTTCAATGTCGCACTTTCCATTTTTTCTTAATACACTTCCAAAATATATAATACTTACCTGGCGTTATGCTGGGGGTTTTGACAATTATTGGATCGTTTCTTGGCCTTTGGCTGAGATTCGATCAAGGCTTCGACTAGCTTGCTAGGACAAGTCATGACCAGCTTTGACTAAGCTCTGACCAGCTTGGACATGCTATGACCAATTTTGACCAGTGGCCTTTGAGTGGAAACACTCGGGTTTCCCACGTTAATCGACCTTGTGTCACATCTTGACCTTGTGGGAGTCAAGTAAATACCTACTTACTTTCAATGTCTTGCGATATCTGGTTCCCGCTCATCTGCGCTTGCTAAGGGCTGTGGTGAAAATCCAACAAATCTAACAAGGGCTCTGGTGAAAATCCAAGGAGCGTCTGCATCGGTAACCGGCGGCTTCTGGTCGTTCCTGTCTCTGCGTCTGTGGGAATCCCGCGGCAAGCAAGAACGTTATTCGAGTAGGCCTGGGTACCCTACTTCTGTAATTTATCCCAAGAATCTTCTTCTCATTACAGGAAGAAGCCGGCTCAATCCGCCCAGGGTGAATGCCGCATTAGTACAGTACAGTACAGTGAGGAGAAAGGACAATAAAAGAACAGGTTACAGAAATCAAGAAATCGGACTGGGAGTTCCACAGATAAGAAGTGCGTGAAAAGAAACCATTAAAATAAAACTGATGGATGGATTTATTTTTATTTTATTATTTATTTTATTCAATTATTTTATATTTCAATTTTTATAACACAACAGGTCTAGGCCAAGAGTAAAAAAAAAAGATATAAATGTGTATAATAACACAATCGGTTGGTGGGGACATGGTTAGATTTGAGCACCGTCTGAATTTGAACCCTGAAATAACTGCGAATTGACTACTATAATTTAGTAACGAAAGTTTCGTGTATTCTGTGAGATTGATAGATGACTATTAAGGACAATCTATGTTTTTAATGCCGTTGTTGTTGCTTGTTTGTTAGTATCGTCTTTGTTATTTTGCTCTTTTGGTAGGAGTCTTTTTGGCTTTTTGTTTCTTATTGTTTTCTTTGTTCGTTTTCTTTGGTTTTTGGTTTTTGTCGGGTGTTATTTTTTTTCTTTTATATAATTGAGGCGTGATTGAAAACGTTCAAATTCTGGAGAAAAATATTTTTTACCGAAATGTGAGTCGGCGGTTCAAATATCCTTAGAAGTTCAGTTACAAGGAAAAATGCTGTTTAAGCTTTCTTTCAAGATAAAGCATTTCCCAGACAAAATTACAAATCTTTTAAAGAGAACACAAGCAACAAGTTGGATTGGTTTGGTTCATTTTGTTTTACGACATATCAACCTCAATGGGTTATTTAATGCCGACAACATTATTAGGATAGATTCGTATGAATAGGGTATGTATTCTTTGGTTTAGATTTGTTTGATTTATTTTGTTTAACGGCATATCAACCTCAATGAGTTATTTAATGCTGACAAAAATTTTCATTGCTGGTAATATTTTGTTTTGTCCAAATTTGTTTCTGGTGATATATTTCCTTCAAAATTGTATTGCTGGTAATATATTTTTCAAAAAAATATTGCTGGCAATAGATAACTATTTTCCCATAGCTGGGACCCTAACAGGTGCTACCACCCCGGGTCAGAATGGAGCTGGGAACACCAGTAATTAAGAGGTGTTTCCACGCTCCTCAAAACCTTCTGAACAGAGGCCTTGCTGCTGGACGTAGTTTAACGTCTTACCCCGGATGCAGATGTAATTTAACGTCTTAACCAGGACGCGGATGTAGTTTAACGTCTTAACCAGGACGGGTTATTTGTTGGAGTTCTTCACAATGTGACTGAAAAGGATCAAATTCTCTAACAAAAAAAAAATTCTTCTGAAAATTCACTAGGCTAACCCGACGTCCTTAGAATATCATCCGCAAGGCAAATGCTGTCAAAAATTCAGAGCCTTTCTCTTTCAGAATAACAGAACAACAATACATAAGCCAAGCAAATTCGGAATTTTATTTATCCTTGCCTTCCTGCGATATAGGGACACAGAAACAATCGATGTATTTTCAAGGAAATAAGATCAAGATTAAAAGGGTTCAATGCATCAATTCATTATCTGATCCTAGAACGAATTCCCCTTGAGAAGACAAGGTCTAAGATCATTGTGGTATAGGCAATTATTCATTTTATAAACTTTCACTGAATACGAATCACCTCAACCGAACGAGACAGATTGATACCAGAAGTATTTGCTATTGGACTGGCTCTCAGTGTAATTACTTATTCCACGTTGAGCGGTGCAATCTATTTGCACACGTCACTCAATATGGCCTCGCTCACAAAACCTGCTGATTATAAAATCACATCCTATGGCACTCTTTACATATACCGACTTGTAAAAATCAAGAAAATTTCGTTTAAAACAAAAGTTATGTTCAGGTGTAATGTTCCGAAAATGATCATTTAAATTAATGGCTAAAAAACTGGAAAAGGTCCAGGAATACATCTACTAAGACTGAAATAATAAGTCGTTGGAAAGCATTTAAACAAATAAAGCTGCAATAAAATGCGCATTGCCAGTATGTTTAAAATATAAAATATATAATTAATGTATAATACCTGCAGTGATATTTGGGATGGAAACATGGAAAGAATTAAGAAAAGCACTCGAAAGCAAACTTAGAAAGGCCCAATTATTAATGGAAAGCGCTGTGCTTGAAACAACGGTAAGAGACTTAGAAAGTTGAACCTGGAACAGAGACGAGACCAAGATAAGTGACAATGACCGTATATAGAGGCAAGAAAAGATTCCTAATGGAGCAGAAGGTTGCTTAATTGCTGCTCAAAGGATAGCAAAATCATATTCTCTCACACTCAGTACTCTCTTGAGTCTTAGTGGTTTTATCAGGACTAGGATTCATCACGAAACCGACCCTGAATTTTTCCCTATCCTGATGAACATTTGGATTCTTAGGGAGGCTCATTGCCTCGAACATCTACTGGGACTAAAATTCACTCCAGACCTCATGTAGAACGCATATATAAGATCCATTACTAAAGATACTGGTAAAATGTCCGCTTTCTTTTACTGCTCCAGAAAGTAACGGACTCCTCCTACCATGCTCTCTCTTTACAAGAGCCAGGACAGATAAAAAATTGGTACTCTGCAATAAGTAGACTTTAGTCCCTACTTTCCAGGCTGGGTAAAGTTCAAACGCGTCTACGCGACCTTGTGGGTGATTAATTATTTTTCACTCTATGAACTCCTTTTCCACAGGCAAAACGTCCCATGCCTCTGGCTAGTCTATCGTTATTTTCATGGCAAATGTTCTGACGAGTTACCTTCATTAATTCCCTTTGTTCACCTACCCATCCACTCACATTCCCTTCTTATTCAACTACTAAGAAGTTTCATTCGGACAACTACTTTATAGAACAGACCAAACACCACCCGACACCCCCGGGGCCGAGTGTGTGCTTCTCCGATCGTTACAATCTAAAACTATTCAAGTCTAGGGTTAACCGTCATCGTTCCTACATATTCTCGTCTGGTGAACAATTACGTAGAAGCAAGCGAGTGGGAATGGCTTGCTTCTGGTGCAAAGGAAAAATAAGTTCCTTACCTCAATACACGACACAAAGCATATTGCTGTTCCTAATACTAATAATGTTAAAAGAAATATGGTAGAAAGATCGCAGAATAGATTGAATAATTTAAGGTTAGATTTGATCTTCTACGAACCGTATGCTACTTGTAGCTCAATTGGTGTTCTCAATCAGGTTTCATAATGAAAAATAACAGGCATTCGAATCTAACCAAGAAACCACCCTAATCAAAATGATTGACAATGTTTCAGCTAATAATAATAATAATATTGCTGTTGACTCTTCTAGTGTAAAATCAAAAATAAATATGGCGTCAAGAGATATTGTGGAATGGAAAGATGGGTTTTGTTCTGTTGAGTTTCTCTCGCTGTTAAAGCAGTTGATGCGTTCAACTAAGTTTCCCTGAAAGCTTGTCTTTGATTTCCGATTTACTTACGATGTAGATCGACGGTCTGAGTAAAGTTGTGAAAAAAAGCAACTGAAATTAAGATGAAAATAGTACTAATGAAATTCAATAAGTATTTATAATGCTTTGTCTAAGGACAAATTAATATCATACAGATGTTACTAATAAGGCTTTTGTATTATAAGAGCCATACAATATTAATTTTGAACGCAGTAACATCAACTTCGAGTTTGACAGCTGAAGGAAACGTTCCTCAGAAATTGCGATAACAGAAAAACGGAAACTTAACGTTAATTTTTAAAAAGATAAGGATAAGAAGAGGAAACTGAACATTCTTCCAAATATGGCATGAACATTCTTATTTTTCATGATCGCTTGATTGCAATTTATATCATCTTGTTTTTGTTTTGTTTTTGTTTTTAATTACTCTCATTTTTTAATTACTGCCATTTTTAATTAGAATCATTTTAATTGCTATCATTTTTAATTGCTATCATTTTAAAATTGGAAATAAACGGGGCAAACAGACTGAAAGATAGGCACTCCAGAGTCGATCAGCTCCGTTCGCCAAGAGATCTTCTAGATTAGTAAAGCTGGCATTATTTAGATTAATTGGTTCGCTCTTTAATAAAAAAGGAAGATTTTTTTTAGTAACTTTTGTTGATTAGTATTCATTACGCAACATAATTTGTCAGAATAGAAAAAAATACGAATTTTTTTTTTATCATTTTAGAAGCGGGGTTCCTGCTTATAATATAAATACAGTGTAAAATCGATTCCTGCCTATTTTAAAATTATCTGTACTTTGTTTTTATCTACAAATGTCAAGGCTTACGGCCATATCATGTTGAAACACCGGTTCGCATATGATTACCGAAGTTAAGCAATGTCGAACCTGCTCAATGCCTGGATGGGTGACCGCTTGGGAATACCTGTTGCTGCCAGCCTGGATGCGCGAGTGGTGTAAGGAATAACGGCGCAGAATTGGAAATCTGAGAAATGAGTTCGAATTCCAATCTGGTTCGTTATATTCACTCACAAATACCCTTGGGAAAGGTACGGATCCATTCTTCATCACGTCCGTTATAGTTTAATTAGTAGGACTTGTACCAAAGAATCATTATCTTCCCACCCCCAAATTCTTACAATCTAAAAGTATTTTCTGTCTTTAAATGACCTGTATAAGGTTGATAAACCGTAAAAAGTAAATCAATCGACAAATGTCAAATCAGAGACTGTGTTTACGCTATTTGTGTACTACTGATGTTGTTTTTTTCCCCAATTTGTAACGGTAGCCATCTGCTATTGGGAACATAAAACCAATGAATTTGTGCTGAAAAGGGTTGAAAGTTTTGTGGGACACCCGGAACCTCTTCTCGCCACTGTCAAACGGAGAAAAATGGTGTGGTTTGGACACATTACAATGCATGACATCCTGTGCAAGGCCATCATGCAAGGCGCCGTTGAAGGTGGACGTAGGAAAGGACGCCAATGTAAAAAACTGATTGGACAATGTCAAACAATGGACATGTGGGACTGTACCAGAATTGCTGATGGCTGCCGTTGATATCCTGTTGTGGAGGAGATTCAATATGGCTTCTGCATTCGGATCCGCCCTACGATTACAAAAGTCTAGGGGATGATGATGATGATGATGATAATGATGATGATGTAATAGTAGGCTGTTATCAATGACGTGAATTTGTGATAAAAAGCAAGTGAAATTAAGATGAAAATATATACTGATCAAAATCAATAATGGTTGATAATGCTTTGTCTAACATAATGCTGTTCTTAAAGGTTTTTGCGTTATGGCAGGCATACAACATTATTGTGAGCTCAGTAACATCGAATTTGACGACCGAAAAAAATCATTAGACAGCATGACATTAGAAAAACTGAAACAAATTTTAAAATAAAGTCAGGAAAAGAAAATTGGACATTCTTCCAAAAATAACATTAACATTTTTATTTCTAAAAAAAATCGCATTATCATCTATTAATTGCAATTTATGTTTTCTTCTTTCTTTTCTTCCTTTTTTAATTACTATCATTTTAATCCATCGGATTAATTGCTTCATAATAATGACCAGGATAAGAAGCAAAAACGATTAAAATGCTTCAAAATCTATTTGTCGTTCTTTAACTGTGGAATTTTCCATTCGTGTTATTAGTGAATCGTGTGTGGAAATTTCCATGTTATTCATCTTTTAGTGTGAGTGGTAATTTCCGTTCAATCAAGTCCTCGCCACCACATTCCCGTCATGTCTAGTCAAAACGTGATACTTTAACGAATTAGGTCGTTTCAATTGGAAGCCAATGAATGTGTCAGAGAAATCGTCGTTGTTTGCTTCTTTGTCTTTCAATGTTTCTATTTTATTTTTTCCTTTTTTTTTCTTTTCTTTCTCGTTTTTTTTTTCTTTTTTTCATTTTACTCTTTCCCGCCTACTTTTTTTTGCTTTTGTTTTTAGTTTTAATTTCGTTCTCTTTTCTTTTTCACGTTCTGTGTTTTTCATTTTCCGATTCATTTCACTTCTTTTATTTCAATCTCTTGTTCTTTCTTGTTCGCTCTTCAAACGTCTCTGTAGTTGTTCAATTTTTAGATTTTTTTTTCTATGCTTTGCTTTTTTATTTCGATTGCTTATTTTTTTTTTTTTTTGTCTGTCTTTTTGATCTGTTACTCTTTCAGATTTTTTTGTTTTTCTTTCTTTTTTTTGTTTTTTTGTTTTTTGGTTTTTACACCTTTTCACCTTTTCTCAAAGGTTTTGTCTCTGTATTTCATTTCGTTGCTGTGACTTTCACTGTCTTTTTTATTGCGTCTGCATTTAATGTTTTAAATCTTTTGTTTTTCTTTTTGCTTAGGTTCTTTCTTTTCTTTTCTTTTTCTTTCGCTTTCTTTCTTTTGGTTTTCATTTTTTATTACTTCTTAATCTTTATTTTTTCTTTCTTTTCGTTTGACTTCTCTCTTTCTATTTCTTCTCTTCTTTTTTCCCTTTTGATTTCATTTATTTTGCACTGCTTTCTTTCTTTCATTTTTTCACTTTAATTCTTTCTTTCTATCTTTCTTTCTATCTTTCTTTCTTTTTTTTTCACTTGCGTTCTTTCTTGCTATTTCTTTCTATTTATTTATCATAGTTTACTTTTCAATACACCTTAATTAAAGAGAATGAACATGTTCTACCCAGTGCAGCAAAGCCAAATTTGCACACTTTGTAGAACGTCAGGCAAAATCAACTCTCGGTAAAATGAATGTTAAACCTAGGTACAGAGAAAAAAGACAGATGAAAGAACTCTTTGCAAACGACCGGCACATGTGCCGTTAGAATTCTTCCACACTTTGGCATAATATCTCGACTGACATAAATTAAATCAAACCGCTAGAAATAAATCTAGAACCGGCTGGAATTGATTCTTGAAAAAATTTCTAAAAAAAAACAAAAGAAACAAAAAAAAAACTAGAAATAATGAAACTGTTTTTCAGTTATCTTGGAATGTGAGTGTACTTGTAGCGTAATGGCTGTCGTCACAGAAACCGGAAGTGGTATGTGACCTTCCAATTCTAGTTAGCCATACAAAAGCACTTCGAAAAGGTAATGATCATTCTCCACCCACTCACAGCCATGAGTAAAATAGCAAGGTAGAATGGGTACTTTAGCATTGGTTGGAAACCAGCTTAGTAGAAGGACAACTCTGGATTCATAACCGATTGAGGGTAAGGCGAGCAATTCCACACTGTAAAAACTGCTTGCTACGGAAACTAAAGCACCAACACCTAGCGTAGTGAGGCTGTGTTTCTACCGGGGCGAGGCTGTGGCCACATACTCCACAGAATAGACAACAAATCATGCAACTTTGAATACGTCTTTTTAACAAAGCCTTTTCTTCTTTTGTTCTTCTTTCCTAATTCATTCGTTCTTACTTTTTCTTTTCTTTTTTTTTCTCTAGTCATTTATTTTTCTTTTGGTTTATTTTACTTCTTTTTCTAATTTTTCTTTCTTGTTGATTTCTTTCTTCCTTTTTTTCTTTCTTTCCTTCCTTTTTTTCTTTCTTTCCTTCTTTTTTTTTTCTTTCTTTCGTTTTTTTTTCTTTCCTTCGTTTTTCTTTCCAATTAGTGTTTTACTGATCGTACCCATGAAAATTTCGCGGTTTTCTTATTTGATTTTCCTCATGAGTCGTAATTCTTAAGTTAACGATTGAATAAACTCTTTGCACGATCCACAGCTATAGAGTACCCGTGCAAATTTCCCATCGCGCCTTGTTAAATATTTCAGATTATCATCTTTAACAACGATAAGTCTTACTGCAGAACATATTTTAAAGAAGTAAGAAGGTACAAATGAAAAGATTTAAAATTGACGACAAACTCATGATAGTGTTATCGTTTTCGCCTCTCTAACTATGCCTGTCTCTCTTTCTTTCTTCCTTTCTTTCTTTTACTCAGGGAAACTAAACATCGACCCTGATAGCTCTTTCCCGTCTTTCCACACAATCAAAACGGAATATACCATTATTCATGAGGTATTGGCAAGGGATAAAGAAACAAGCGGAATTATAATAAAACATTTGCTTTCCATGTTCCTTTATTCTCTTTTCCATTTTAAAGGCACGTAGCTTTTTCGCCGCCGCTCTCTTTCTCGCTGGCTACCCAAATTATCGTTCCGCGCATTCGAATAGGCCTTTGTGCAAGTTTACTGTAATAGAATCATCTGTTTATATAAATAATTGACTCGGCTATCTTATGAATACGTCTCGAGGTAACAGAAAGCAAATAACGGAGCATAAATTCATAGATTAGCACGATTGGTTAAGAGAAAAAAAGCTTTGAACTGTTTTTCGAGTCCTCTAAAAGAGTCAGTGAAATGTTATCATTGTTTTGAAACGCATGGTCCCAAGAACACACGCACAAGCAATGGAAAAATATAATTGCTTTAAGAATATTTTTCCTACATACAACGTGTGCTCTCGTCAGCCGCCAACCAGGTGAGGTAACACAGTTTCGGTGGCTAAGGTAGTACTGCCACCCCTGGCGCCACCACTAGCTTTTGCCACCTGACAGGTCATTTTTTATGTAGACGTGTCAGTTTCTTGCGACATTTTTGTTGCAACTGTTATTTAGATTTTAAACGTTGTGTTAAAAGCGTTTGCTTTTGATCGTTAACCAATACACAACGCGCTCATAGTGACCGTTGTCAATGACGTAGAATGGAAGGTAAAGAAATGTATTTCACGTCGGAATTAACATTGGTTTGCGGCCGGTTGATTGTGGCCGATATTGCCATGAAAAGTTGTTCGTTCCGAGTCGTTGCGGTTTATGCCCCCAACGACCGAGAGGAGAGGGTCTCGTTTTTTTGGCGGTTGTGGCCGTTCCTGGTGGATTCAAAGAGTCTAGTCTTAATGGGGGACTGGAATTCCATCTTGGACCCCAAGTTAGATAGGGAGCGGATAGCGTAGCTTGGTGCATCTGATCGACGAATTTGGTTTCGTCGATAGATACCGGATCGATCACAAAGGGGAGGGGGGAATATGGACGTGGTCCTTGGCCGTCTACCCAGGTGATTAGCTATCTGGATAGAATGTTAGTTACAGGAGCCAACGTAGACTTGCTAGATTGTCCCGCGTTCCACTGGATAGGCTATTCGGACCACAAACTTGTTTGTGCCCAGCTGGTGTTAGATTGTAGGCCTAGAATGGCTGGTTACTAGAAGTTCAATCTGTCTTTACTGGACAGGCGGGACTTCCAGGAGCAACTCACCGGCTTAGTTCATCTGGAGCTAGTGGGGGCGGTTATCGAGAATAGATGGTGGGAAAGACTTAAGTGTAGGATTAGGTCCTTCACCACCGATTTTAGCAAACGGCTCACTCTAGATAAAGCTAACAAGGTGAAGGCACTTAAGGATAGTTATTCCCGGGTGGTGGCTGAAGGGGAGATCCCCTAGAGATAGCCTTAGCTAAGGAGACCCTAGAGCGTTTGACTAGCGAGCGCTACATGGGCCAGGTAATTAGACATAGGTTAAGCAAGATGTCGTCCAAAGCTGTGAACATGGGCGTAGAATTGCGCAAGGAAGAGATCCGTCGGGTTTCCGGTCGTTACATTTGTGAAGTCAAAACCCTGGAGGGGCATACTCTTTGGGCCACTGACAAAATGTGAGAGGCGTTTCGGCGGCATTTCGAGAGCCAATTTACCAAGGAGCCTGGTCTCCGGGATAACGAGTTTCGTAACTATTTGGCTGACTTTCCGCGGCTTTCACCGACTGAAGCGGCTAGCTGCGAGGGAAAGATCACGGAGGGCGAAGTCAACACGGCATTGAAGAAGGTCGGCAGAGGCAAGTCGTCCGGTCTGGATGGTTTGGCCTATGAATTGTACTTGAGGCTGTCGCACATCTTTGTCCCGATTTTGACTGTTGTGTTCAACAACTGGTTCCGGCAGGGCTCCGTCCCTGACCGGTTCACCAGGAGTGTAATCACGCTGTTGAAAAAGGGCAAGGGTGCTTGACGGGATTTAGGTGATTATAGGCCCATAACTCTGCTAAACACGGAGTTAAAGATTTTGGCCAAGATCCTGCAGGAGAGTTTGCAGTCAGTTGCCGAGTCTCTGTTGGGTCCTGAGCAGACTTGCGCTGTGAAGGGCCGAACCATTCAGAGGAACCTGCATCTGATCCGCACGATCATAGAGGGTGTAAAAGACGATGAGCAAGCCGCGCCGATCAATTTAGATCAATCAAAGGCATTTGATAGGGTTGACCATCGCTACCTTGCTGCCATCCTGCAGGCCGCCGGATTCGAACTCGACTTCTGCCGCTGGATTAGCCTGCTGTATCGTTCTCCCAGTGCTGTGGTACAGGTGAACGGGAAGCTGTCGGGCACTTTTGTACTGTCTCGGTCGGTTGTTCAGGGTTGTCCACTGCCGCCTCTACTTTACGCTTTGACGTTGGAGCCTCTCCTTCGCCGGCTAAGGGACAGGACGTGCAGTCCAGCCCTACGTGAAATCGCTGTCTCTGAAGGGGCTCGTATCAGGGTTTCCGCGTACGCCGATGACATATCTACTTTCGTGTCGTGCCGTAGCGACATTGAGGTGGTACTGAAGGTGCTTCATCGGTACGAAAAGGTGACAGAGTCCAGGATTAACCGCGAATTCAAGACCTGCAAACAAATCACTTGATTTGTTTTTATCTTGAAGATTGAAAGCTACTTTTTGATCTGTCATGAAATAAAATATATATATATATATATATATATATATATATATATATATATATATATATATATATTGCTGATACCTCCTGAAAAGTGGTCGAACAGGTTTGTCCACGAAACTCTGGAGTCGGGATGCTCAAGGTAACATCAATCAGCTAAGTGACAAATTTTACTCACATTAACCAGATAGATAGATAGATAGATAGATTTATCTCTTAAATTTTCGTTTTACTTTTTAGAACAATAGAATACACCAAAATATACTTATTAAAAATTGCAACTTCTTTTGATGATTAATTTATAAAGTAGCGTAGCCACACTCTTCAATGAATTCCACAAAATATTATCTTTTTTTTTTTTTTTAATCAAATTCATCCCATGCAAAGGCAGTAATGCTACTAAGAAAGATTTAGTAAATAGAAACATTAGTTAGGAACGAGAACAATAGAAGAATAATCAGGAAGACAGTAGATAATGATTTACACTGCATTTAAATTTTTGAAGATTTAAGTTGGCTGGAAAACATGGAACCGGATGAGTGTTCCACAAGCGAGAAGTGCGAGAAAAGAATCTGCTATCATAGAACTTACGGTTGCACCTAGTCAATTCAACTTGTAAATTGATGAGACCTTACCGCCAATCTACAACTGCGTTGAAATTAATAAAGTCTAGATGCCACAGCGGATATCTCATCCGAACAATTACCATGAAAATATTTATAGAAATGACAAAGGGAGACAACTTTATAGCGGTGATGAGAAAGTGATTAAATGCCGAGACTCCAGAACAAAAATAAAAATAAAAACAGAAGAATACTAAAATAACATATGGTTCAGTGGTAAACAGTTGATG